GAAATAGTCATGTATTTTGACCAATATCTGCATAAGAAAGAAGGCTAGTCAGATGATATAATCACATTTCTGATATTTAATGTTGCTATACTATTGGAGAGGCTGTATTCAGGGTCCAGGATACACCTCCAAATATGGGAATCTGCCCAAATATAGCTAAATTATTGTGTACAAGTTTCTTCACTTTTTCCTCATTTTCCAGCTGTTTTCTCTGAGTTGTTTTTTTTTCTGTCTATATTTAGATATGGACCCTGAACACAGCCCCTTCAATATCATGACAACAGCAAATATCATTCCGATTTTTCTTCCCTTTTTTGGCATATTTTGTAATCATGTTATACAATCTATCTGGCTTTGTTCTATTTTTAGAGATGGACCCTGAACCCTGAACACAGCCCATTCATGATCATGGCAATGGTGAATACCATGCTTATTTTTCACTTATTTTGCACTGCTTCTCAACCTATCTGTTTCCATTTTTCAGACAGCTTTCTATATTTGGATATGGACCCTGAACCCTGAACACAGCCTCTCCAACTTACTAAGCAATATTCTGATTTTCTACACATTTTTGGCCAATTTATTTGCCATTTTTCCTGATTTTATGGCTGCTTCTCTCCTTAAGAGAAAAGGTTCCCGCGGTGATGAAAGGTAAATCAATGAATGAATGAATCAATGAAAATTTTGTCTAAGTCCTCAGTTGATAAAGAATGAGTCTTACTCGTAAACTTGTAAGGACTCATAAAAATATGTAGAGACGTACTTGTCTTTGTCATCTCCATAATCACCAGAACCGTTGGAATCGTCAGAGTCACTCTCGATGAACTCGGGTGTTTTGACAACCTTGCTTCGGCGAGTCGTAGGCATTGCAAATATGCCGGTAAAGAACTAAAGAGGAGAAGTTGGAGATAGAGCAGGCACTGGTTTCAACCTTCTTATACATCCCAGTTTACTCCCAGGTTAAGGGGCCAATAAATTGAGGACAAGATGATTATGAAATTGCTGCGACCCACCACTGCATGTATCCTTTTCTTTACTAGTGGCACGCCGCTCATGATCGCCGTTACTGAAACACATCCTTTGCCACAACTATCGACCCTCAATGCTAGTGCGCGATGGATGATCGCCGCTATTTTTTTTTTTTTTTTCTCAATAGATTTTCTGCAATTAAGTTGCATAGCCACGTTATTCAATCATCCCTACGAATTTCTACCAGAAACAAACTACGCAGGTGATCGCCGTTGTTGAAATAAATTTTCAACAAGATACATCGGTGATTTCATTGCATACTCCCCAATTACTCAAGCCTATTTATTATGGGGAAAAAATGGCGACACATGATGGCCAAGAAAAAAATGCAGATTTCATTCTATTATATGGTGAAGGGGCGACAAAAAGTGGCTAGAATAAACTGCCATTTTGATTTACTTGGATTATGAAGAAGATGTATTGTCTGGAAATGTAGGAAAACTATGTTGAACATTGCCTTTGAATTTTGGAATGCGTTAGTTGAATAACGATAGAATGCAATCAAGAAAGAAAAGAAGCATCAATTACAATACGTTGTCGCATCCAGGAACGACCAGAGTTTTCGCAAGGCCCACCTCCAAGAGTCCACCAAATATCACACCCCTCATACGATAAAGCCTTATCCTTCTTCTCTCGTAGAATTGAAGGATAAAATGTTAGGGCGCCAACAACGACTGGGAGAGCCATGTGTTCATCAAAGGAGAAGAATAAGCGGTTTGAATCGCTTGTGTGCCTTGAAGTATGAGGACAGGAAGGATCCACTGTGCAGACATGTGGCCAGAGTTTTTCATCAAACGAAAAACCGCGTTCTCGGTACCTTGTGCGGAAGATAAGATAGAGTGGGTCCAAAATGTTCTGTTCGATGAATCTAGGAACCATGTTGCCAGCAATAATGCGATGTAGATCCAGTATCTGGGATTGTGTAGGAGATACAACCGAATGTGAAAGTTTATTGGATGTGAGGTCTGGATAGGCGCAAAATATGCCATGCTTGTTAATATAGTTCATAGTGTGTGTCGAAGAAGAATGGATGATAGCGGCGACAGGAGAAGGGGAAGATGTCATGATCAGATTGACACAAAGGTCACGGTTTGAGCGATGCGTTAACAAGAGGATGCTTGATACACATGGGTTGCCAAGATGCACATTGGACCACGTTTCTGTAATCTCGTATTGATCCTCAAGCAAGTCTTGATAGAGGTCAAAGGCATGGCGCTGGGGGACATAAATATCAAGGTCATGAGGTTTGAACCCGTCGATGCGTGCCAGGATGGGAAGTAACGCCACCGAACCACCAATAACGGCGTTGTATGTGTCTAGCTTCTTCAAGGTTCGAGCATAGCTAAGGCGGAAACCACATATCAGTGACGCGACCCGGTTACAAACATAGACGTTGGCTGTATGGTAGAAATAACGCGATGTGTGTCGTAACTTCATAATAACTGGAAGGGGTAGCTGATCATACAGCATGATTAGCTGTTCTTTGTTGAACGTCAACAAATGAGAAACCGATGGAGTGTAATAACGAGCTGAACAAATATAAATCAGAAGTATGAATGTCTGAATGGAGAGGAAACGTACGAGGCATGTTGATTTCTTGGATTTTCGATATGACATCATCCAAATGGCGGATAATGTTGTTGATCTCTCGGGAGTGGTGTTTTGCATATTCCAAGATACTTGACGCTGGCAGATTCCACAATTCTGAGCGTGTCAGAAAGTTGAGGACGTGCGTAGGGTTAGACCCAAACAGCAAGCTGGGGGGTCTAGGGCTGATTAAATAATCAGCTTCTAATAATTGCATCAGCATGTAGTTGCAGCGAGTCGTTATTAAGAACGCACGGAAACCCAGCATGTCAATTTCATCCAACGTTGTCATGTTGAAGGCATCCAGATCGATGGATGATGGTGGGGAAAGTTCTACGCCAACGGCGATAGCAAGTTTAGAAATCTGAGCATGTAAGTCATGCAAAAGACTTACGATGATATTGAGGACTTTTAGGTTGATTAGGAGAGCCTTGGATATAAAGAGGCATTGAAAAGACGGTGCAGAGGACACAGGTTAGCCAGGTTACACTCATGAGATATATATGTGCATTGACGTTCCACATGCAGGGACAACCAAGAAAAGAATATTGAGAAATTTATGACATGGAGTCGAAAATTTCAAGGAGGCCTGAGGAATCGGAGACGAAGATGCCGTGAATAAACTGGTGAGAAACGTTCTCTCACACATTCACGGCAATACCATAATCCATACCATCAGTACGTAACCCAGTACAAAAATGTCAAAATTGAAATAAAGGTAGAAAGCCGAGTCAGCTTGAAGACCGAAGAATAATCACGTTCAAGCAAGGCTAGTACAGGGACAGTTACAGCTAATACAAGTATAGCTAGTACAATGACGGTTACAGCTAACAACAACGTTTAGGTAATGCTCCACTCAGTGAATTTGTTTAGGTTTAGATCCAGAGGTATAGTACCTGACGGCCATAAATTCTGTGGTTGATACAGCCAATCAACATATAAGAAAGGATGTCTCATGACAAACAGAGACAGTTTATCGTCAATAAAAGAGGTATATAAAATAGAACAAGCAAGACCGAGCGCTAATCATACTTTAGCTTTTGAAAGTTGATCGACGAGACGGTTGAAAGGCCGATCAACATGAAAAACACAGGGTCGGTTGACAGAATATATCATACATCTCACTTTCAATGGGCGCTACTAAATACAGCCTCATTTTGACAGAATAGGTATAGACAGAAGGGTTGTTAGGACCAAGGAATATTTGTTCAAGTATATGACGGTGACTAGGGATCAAGCATGTTCCCATGCATTAGCAACCCTTGAATGAAATTGACAAGCAATTGTACGCGTATTCACAAGTTTTGTTGCTTAGGCATTCACATATACTTTCAACATGGATGCATTCTACGACAACGATGAAGCCAGTGAGTAGAGCATATTTACTGCCATTGTGACTGAAAACCAAAAATCCATAGGAGATCTTCTTGAATTCGTAACCAAGGCACGCATTGAGAAAGGCCCAAAGGTCTGTCAACTATTGATTGACCTTCGATGAGGTTAGCAGCGCCTACCTTAGAAGTTCGATGAGTTTACTAATTGACGATATGTAGAAAGATGGGATGGCACCATACGCATTTGTGCAATCCATGGAGAAACCTCATTGCTGGAAGCTTGTAAGGATTGAACAGAACACGCAAGAACAAGAGGAAGTCGTCCTACGTATCCAAGGAATCATATGTGACAAGAGCATACCACCAATTAAAAGGCCATTTGAAATGTACGTTGATGATACTAAAGTCTGTGGTGCCTTCTCAACATATATATACACAGAGAGTCACAAGGCCGGAAATATCTACGTCAAAGCATTACGCTTACAGGATTCGGTTCAGACATAATGAAGAAAGCCATTGAGAATATACATTACATCCATGGGTTATTCAATCAGGAATTCACGCAAGGAGAACTCGAGGCTTGGACGCCTGGAAGATTCGGCCAGTTTGATGCTATCGACATATCGAACCGCTACTTCACCAGACGGAGTGACATGAATGGAGAGATGCCAATCCAATTCAGTCGTGCTATTGATCCAGATGATATATTGACAAATGCGTTATCAAATGACTTCGTTCATATTCAAGAGAATGTCGTAGAGTATTACGAGGCTGTAAAGAAGGACAACAAAATCAAGTGAGTATATTTCTACTTCTTTGGAAGAATGACTTATAACGATGGTTATAGATATATAGATATCAATCCTGGACGTATTCAGAGGGGAGACATTTTGGAAATTCAAGCTTCATTTATGGTTGTACCACTAAAAGCCAAGAAATTCAAAATGCTTATCGTGCTAAGAGCGATTACACTTTTAGACAACAGCGCTACCAAAGTGAGTAAAATTTTATTGCCTTACAAGCTTTACTAAAATACTTTTGGTGACCAGAACGCAACTATTTCACGACAAATGAGTGGACAGGAAGTACGTCGCATCAGCCAGACCCTAAAGAGAAAGACAGGATACAGTGAGGATGAGGATGTAGAAATGCGTGACAAGGTTAGAAGGATGCATATTGATTGAAATGTATGGTCTATGGCTAGACTACACATATGATTTACGTTGTGAATGTGGGCTAATTATGAAGCTAACAAAGGCAGATAGACTTTGATGAATCAATGTGATTTACTTTTTTTTCGTTGATAAATTATACTTCTTTACATTGAGAGTATACCAATCGCCCCGGCAAGGCCGGAGCATGATTGGTATACTATCAATGTAAAGAAGTATAGTTAGTTGCATTGAAGTAAAAAGGAAGCCAAAAAAAAAAGTAAATCACATTGATTCATCTAAGTCCTTCAGCCAAATAGAGCAATAATGAGGCCACAAGGCGAGTGCTGCGAGAACGCTGCAAGCAGAAGCCATGAGCGCAAGCCATGACACGTGACAACCATGAGATATGATGACAAAGCATACCATGGATCGATAACACTCTGGAAATGTTGAGGGATGTTTCTAGGACAGGGCTAGCAAACAATTTGAGGAGAGAGAGAGCAGAGGCATCACTATTCATATGCTAAGGGTGCTAAAAGCAAATGTTAAGCAAAGATTTGGTAGATTTGACTAGAAAATATGATGAAGAGGATGAGGCATTCAACTGTGGGAAGAAATCATTTTCGTGGGAGAAAGTCAAATTTCAGTGTTACCGCGCTGAAAAAAGTCTCGAGATCCCGGGTAATAAACGAGTCTCTTCGTAAACTCAGAGGACTCGTAATTGAGCTAAACAGCGCCACAGGGATTCAAAATGCATCAGAAAATATCTAGCCAAGTCATCCGATGATATCGCACCATATTTTGTCAGGGCTCATCAACCACTGCAGATCTGTTGGTAAGGCCACCAAAAACTCCAAGAGAATCAAACCCACCCCACCTTCTGTAGTTGGAACACTTTACCGGTCACAGTACATCGTTCACTACAATGGATTCTTTTTACAACAAGATAGAAGCATGCAAGTACCCTCTTTAACTGGATGTGTAGAGTCACTAATTTTATATACTAGGTGATCTGCTTGAGGCCGTCATAACTGCTAGGACAACGAAGGGTCCAAAGGTTGTACAATTGGCGTATTTTAATTCGGTGAGCAGTGGTATAGTGTTATAGATTATCTGAGACATACTCACACCCCAATAACAGGTGGATGGAATGTCTGATTTATGCTCAGTAACAGAGGTGGACAAACCAAGATGTTGGAAGCTCACAAAGACCAACATTGATGACAACAGCCAAGAAGAAGTCGTACTGCGCATACAGGGTATTGTTTGCAATGCAAGTCTTCCACCTGTGAAACGACCATTCAAAATGTAAGTATTTCCTTAACTGTGAAGCGTAAACAAGCTAAAGCATCATATAACAGAGAGTCAAAGCAGCGAAGATATCTGAAGCAATCATTAGCTTTGACGGGACTTGGGGGAACAAAATTTTCCACCATGATTGAAAACATTTACGACATACAGCACATTTTTGAGCGATCACTACCCCACAACACCATGGATGCATGGGTTCCTAGTTATTATGAAACATGCAAAGCATTGGATATGGGCAACCGCTATTTCACAGACCGACGTGATATAAACGGTGACACTCCTATTTCCTTTGGCACTGAGATCGACCCACACAATATACTTACGAACGCATTGTCCAATGAATTTGTTCACCTCCTGGAAAATAAGGTTGATTATTATGAAGCGCAACAAGGAACCGATAATATTATACGGTAAGCAATGGAGCACTCAAATGATTCAAATTTGACTAATACCTCACAGATACTATGAAATCAACCCAATGAAGATACGTCCAGGAGATGTTGTGGAAGTGCAGGTATCATTCGTTGCAATACCGCTTAAGCAACAAAGATACAAAATACTGGTGGTGCTACGAGCTATCACTCTACTAGATTGCAGTCCACTACGAGTAAGCCAACATTCAGCCAAAGTACACAATGCTAACAGAAAACAGAATGCAAGTATTGCACGTCGCATGAGCAGAGGTGCTGAACCCCGTCGGGCAAGCCAATCGCTGAAGAGAAAGATTGGTTATGAAGAGGATGAAGAGCATGATGCTGGGGAGAAGTTGAGCAAGATGCGCCTGGACTGAAGGGTGCGACAAACGACTTATGCACTGGTAGTATATAATGTCATAATTTTATGAACTGCACTCTGAGTAATTTCAAACATTGTTTTCTATTGGATACAGTCAACGGTTGGTAGCAATAAGAAAAAAATAAAACTTGAGCAGGTGATACATCAATATCACGTGAGTTCAACTTCAATATGTACAAACAATTTTACCGCGTACGCGGTAGAACAGTTTGTATTTGTTTCCAGCTGATACATCAATATCACGTGAGTTCAACTTCAATATATACAAACAACTTTACCGCGTACATGGTAAAACTGTTTGTATTTGTTTCAAAAAATGTGACATCACTGGGTCCAACTTCAACATACACAAATAGTTTGATGGGCAACCATTTTGAACAAGAATCTGAGACAAGTAAGCCAGCTAATCTACTACCATATTGAACTGACGAACAATTAGAAAAGGGAATGTGAGTCACCATCCCATTTGACATCTTACAAGATACCATCTTGGACAAGCTTATGCTTGCTGAAGATTGGAAAACACTGTCCTCCATGTCCCACCTTTAAAGTGAGCTGTTGTCTACATTATGAGACAGGCTTAACATTCTAAGTTAATACCATATATGTAAGAACTGGACTGCAACCAAGAGGGAGGACATACACATTGTTGTTGAAGCTAGCTCAAAATACTTCTATGATATGTCTACATTTCCTAGTACTGTCTGCCAATCAAGTTCAACAAATGCATTGCTGTCTACAGCACTACAGGAGTGATTCAAATGGACAAAACCTTGTACTGTGTACCATCAACTACAAAAATGACAACAGAAGCATACAAACAGCTAGAGTGCCTGAAACCCTGAACATGGAAGACTACAAAAGGCTAGAAACCCTGAAACCCTGAATGTGGGAAACCATCAATTTTCGTGGGAAAAAGGCAAAGTTCAGCGTTAGAACACTGAAAAATTCCTTGAGATCAAGGGTAATAAACGAATCTCTTCGTAAACTCAGAGGACTCGTAACAATTCATTATGTAATAAGGTCAAAGTACAAATAAACATACTTTTTCAAAGAAGAATCTGAAGCTCACCAACATAAAATCTAAAATAAATGAAATAAAACACCAAGAAAAATAAAGTTTGTTTTTATGTATATTATGTAATAAAGCTATATGCACAAATAGATATATGTTTGCACAAAATCAAGCTAATGCAAGCTTTTTCAAATGAAGAAGTAGCAATAAATTGGCACAAAAATTAGAAGAAAATTGCTGATGGTGCTCACTGTTGGTGACAACATTTGAAAACACTCTCAGGGTCTCTGGTAAATTTCCATATATGGCACTTAGCATTTGTCCAACTGAAAAATAGCAATTAAATGGCAGAAAAAATGGAAAACAATTGAAGAATGGTGCTAACTGTTGATGTTGATGTTAGGACTGTTTCAAGGGTCCCAGGTGCATTTTCTTATATGGAAATTTATTCAACAATTGCCAGAAAATAACACAAAAATCAGAGAAAGTTGGAATATGCTGCTCATTGTTAGCAATGATGTTATGAGTCCTCTGAGTTTATAAAGACACTAGTTTGTTACTCTCTGATCTCAAGGATTTTTTCTGTACTTCTAACACTGAATATTGCCTTTCTTCCCATAAGATTTGATGGTTTGATGATGTTGTCAAACATTTTTTGAAAGGAAAAATAGCGATAAAAACAGAAGACAAATCAGGAACAAATGGGGGACAATATGCATTGTTGATGACAATGTTGGGGACCATTTTCAGAGTACATGGCATATTTTCAACTGAGGTAATGTCCACTTTTTGAATCAAAAAATGGCAATATAATCATAGAAAAATCAGAAAGAAATTGAAGGAAGATGCTCACTGTTTGTGCAATACTGGGGAGCATGTTCAGGGTCCAGAAGAAAATTCCATACATAATAATCTAGTTAAAAATAGCTATAAAGGACTGGAAAAAATTAGTGAAAAATGGAGCATAGTACTTATTGTTGCTTTCAAGGTAGGGACTCTCTGTAAGGTCCAGTATTTTATATACATGGAAATATACAATTTGTGCAATAAAAAATAGCAATAATATATATATATATAATGGGTATATGTCTGATGGGCTTTCAGGAGGTGGTCACATGACCAGTTTCCTAAATAATCAAAAATGTGAATGCTGTGGTGCTGCATTGTGGCTTCTTCAATATAAAAAGGACTTGTATCTGCCATGCTTGCAATGGCCCTCTTACACAAGTATTCAGAGGCGGGTTGATGCGAGGAATGGATGAATGGAGGGAGGAAGGGGTGTGTGGCTGGCGCTGTTGCTCTCCCATTGTATCTGTGGGTGCATAAGTTTCGATTCCTATATCTGAGAAAGCCTACTTACCTAGCAATGTCGATCTTCACTCCACTCTCATCTTTAACCTTGCCGTTGTCGTCGTCATTCGTCCGTAAGCCATCTGCTCGTCATCCACCGTCGCGGCCTTTGATCTCATTCGAATTTTTAGAACCTTTCTTCGACACCAGACGTAACGCAACACTAGACTGCAACCAGGTACGTCAACGTCCGTATCGTCATGGACTAAGTTCACTCACCTTCTGTTGTATGCCATTTTGCAGGCCGGACGTGCCAGCAGTGATCCTACCGTTAGAAAAGCTGGGGAGGCACGAAACGACTTCGTTTGAACTCGTTTCGTGCATTTGATAGTGGGTCAAGGCAGGGGATGAATGGGAAGTGCAGAAGGTGGGGTGAGTGCCTGGAAATGTTGGGGTCGTTGACTTGTTTGAGTGACCACCGGGCCCTAGAGGCTACGGATGAACAAAATGAATTCATTCGAACTCGTTTCGGGTAGTTGGAGGTGGGTTGATGCGATTCGAACTCATTTCGCGTATTCGGAGGCGGGTTGACGCGAGGAATGGAGGGAGGAAGGGGTGTGCGGCTGGCGCTGTTGCTCTTCCAGGGTCTTCGCACATCCATGGCTGTATGAGTTTCGAGTTTCTGACTATGACGAACATTGAATTTGATGCAATCGATGACTTTGACTTACCATGAATGAAGCATTGCATTCCCTGCAACTGGCGCAGTTCTACAAAAGGTTCGTGAGTTTCGATAGTCAAATGGGGCGGTAGACGACTTACCTCATAGACAACTTACCTAGAGAGGTGCTCAAGAGTCTGAGTCGTTGGTAGATGGATTAGCCAAGCAGTGCCAAACTATGACGTGCGTGTAAGCTCGTCTGAGCCCTAGCTGGGGCTCAGACGAGCTTACTCACACGTCATAATTTGGCGGTAAGATTCATTGCAAACAAGGACCATCATACGTGCAAACAGATCCACTGCGCGCACAGTGGATTGGTTTGCACATCTTTGTTTTCAACGCCGTTTGACAAGGACCTCACTTCTCCTTATTCCCACACCACCCTCCAGCTTCCAAAACCCTTCCTCCTAGTCATCCATCTCCCAGGCCTCGAGACGACATATTTCCCTCCGCTAAACACCCTCCTACATGTTGGCAAGTGTTTTGAACCCTTCCACAATGTCCTGCACCCCCAAGACGACATATTGTCATCCGCAAAACGATTACACGTCGCCCTTCAGCGTCAGAAACTCCTTCACCTCGCATAGGTCCCCCAGGCGTCGAGACGACATATCGTCGTCCGCTAAACGCCTTCTACGTGCTGGACAATAATTCCAACTGTTCCACAATGCCGCACTAGCCCCAAGACGACATATCGTCTTCCGCCGAACGGCCACACACCACCCTCGGGCTTCCAGAACTCTTCCACCTCGCCATCGGTCCCCTAGATGTCGAGACGATGTATCGTCGTCCGCTAAACGCCCTCCCTATGTGCTGGTTTTTTTTCCAGCTGTTCCCCAACACTGTGCATCCCTCCTGACCTGAAGATGATGTATCGTCTTCAGCAAAACGGTCCCACGTCGCCCTCCTGCTTCCAGATCCATTCCACCTCGCCATGGCGTCTAGACGACGTATTGTCATCCGCTAAACGCCCTCTCGACGCGTGGGTCGTCTCCGGATGTCGGATGGGATGGGTTACAGTTGAGAACTTTGAAAAGAGAAGAAAAGAAGGTTTGTTCAGTGTTTTAAAACCATAAACACGAGTAGATACCTACTTGTTCCATTTAGAGCTGTCCCCGCCCTTCGTTGCGTCGATGCAACGTATCGGGTTCTGCCAATCACTATCCAGGCACGATGTGGTCTCCCCGAGGCTCGTCTTTCGTTTTCGGTCGACGTTGTGAGCTGCAAGCGACTACGTGTCGTCATTTTTTCAAGTTTGGGCGACAGGGTCACCGTACCTTCGTCGTTTGATCGACTTCCTCGCGTCGCCATCTCTCTTCCATGTCTCCAAGGCTCACCACGACATATCGACGTCTGTCAAACGCCTTCAGCTCATTGTGGATGTTCTGCAACATCGCGTATGTTGTAGCTTTCAGATTTAAGTAAGTTCTACGTCGATTTGAGGTTGTGAGATGTTACTTACTTCTTTGCACATCATTTAGGCACGTTGGCACCCCGGGAACGTGTCCGATCCTTCGCCACATCAGCAATTGTGCCCCAACTGCCTCCAACGCAAGTCCGTTGTGGATTTATGATGTTCTGTTGTTGATCTTCAAGGTAAGTCATCAGTTTTTGGTATGAGGCAACTATTCACAGACTTACCTTTCATCTTTAGCCATTTTAACAAGTTACCGCCTTCGATCCACCTTCCCAACGCTCGACAGGACGTATCAACGTCCGGCAAACATGTTGAAGATATCGTCGATGTTGCACCAACACGCCGTGGGTCGTAGCTTTGAAAAATATGTGAGTTTTCCGTTGATTTGTGTACTGAGTCTTCGCTTACTGCTTTTGAAGATCGTTTACGCGCGTTCTTGCCCTTTTGAACCTTTCGCGAGTGTGCCACGTCACCAACCACGCCCAGCTGACTTCAACACGACCATGTCGTCATTTATGAAGAGTCTAACGTCAATTTTCAACGTAACTCGTTAGTTTTCGTCGTTATGTGACTATTCAAGAACTCACCTTTGTCATTCAGCCGTTTCCACATGTTATCAACTCCAATCCACCTTTCCAAGGCCCAAGAGGACGAAATGATGTCCGATAAACGTGTTGAGGGTGTCGTCGATGTTGTGCAAACACCCCGTTCATTGTAACTTCTGAATATATGTGAGTTTTGCATTGATTTGAGATGTGATTGTCCACTTACTTGTTTGAAGGTTGTTTTCGCATGCTATCGACCAGCAACAGTCAACGAAAACATTGATGGGCAAACGACAACCACAGTCGAATGCCAGCGCCCACGAACGACCTCAGGAACGACATCCCTGTCAGCGACGTTGCAAGTATGCGACGCAGATGGACGAGGGACGATGACGACGACGCACAGAAGGACGAGGGACGACGTACTGCAAGTCGTCGGTGTTTGGTACGTTCCTTTTCCCTTCTTTTATGCCCCCTCCTCCTTTTCTCTCCTCCATCCATACATTTCATCCCCTGTCGCCTCCCATTCACAACATCAAGCACCATCGTATTCTGACACGCCATCTTCCTAGCCGAGAGTATCAGCACGGCTGTATCATCATCAATCTGTGACCAACCACCCTCAGTGGTCCACCTACCAGGCGCACAGGATCACGACGCACCAATGACGATCACGACAAACAGCAATGACAACAGCAACAACAACGGCCACGTCATCAGTTGAAGACGATGTGGAACATCGTCCAGACAGTGATGACGTATGCCGTCGTCACTGTCTAGTCTTTCAGCTATGTCTTGTTACACACCTCCTCCATCTCTTTGTTGACAGCAGACACAGGGACGACGTCACCATTGGCGACGTTCCATACGATGCAAAGCAACTGCATGGATGACGGCAAATGACGTTTGCGAAATTCGGTTGTGAATGACGAAGTACAACAACATCCCTCCGCAGTGAGATGGACAGAAGGGGGCAATGAACGATGACACGAGGACTACGATTTGTATGTTATGTTCCAAGTTATATGAATTATACAGATGTTCAATTTACGCCACGTGGATGAAAATCGACAAAGGGCTGATAGTTAGTACTTAGTCTATGTAAAATATTATCCATACATCGTCCAAAACAAATGCAAACAATATTACCGCGCGCGCGGTAGTTTTGTTTGTACGTATTGACGTTAACCTCTCCAGCCACCATCTCTTCTACTTGAAATCTGCTATGGACTCTGATGCTTCCAGTTCGGCTCACGTGGTTAATTGTCTGTACCATTTCCGCTCTCACTAAAGCAAGCACTCATACTGGTTCACCCCCATCAGGCCCTTCAGAATGCCGCGCTGTCTCACCTGTGTTCTTGGCCTTTCCTTGGGCCACTCCACACATCGTACAAGTGCCAAAGCCTTTGGCCGACTTCACTGAGATAATGTCACCTCACAAGGTACTTTATTTCTCTGTGACCTTGATTGTAACTTAACAGACTGCTTTCAGCACTTCATCAATTCGCTAAATCGATTTGAGCGCTCGCTCTTTGCCTTTGATGAACTTGTGGTCAATTCTAACGAATTAGCACCACTTCTAGGCTTAGATGTCCTGAAAGCATCCAACACGGTCACCCTACATCCAACGGCGACGACTGCATCATCAAAGGGGGAGTACAAAACCCTCGCTTCCATTCTTTGTGCATATCGAACATTTGAGGTCTTGGCTCTTGACTGTGAAACTGGTGTTTCGCATCCTCCCAGTCGCCTACTTCCTCCCTTGGCTTTCAACAAGTCTGAGCAGGATAGCGGAAAGATTGTTGTACATCGATTTATATATATTCTGATCCTCAAGCTAATTTTCCTTGCTTGCATGGGGTTTGACAGACTAGAAAATTGGCCCAAAGCTCTGCTTAACTTCCGGAAACTTATAGGTCAGTCGGGACTACCTCAAATTCCTGACGACCTCCTTGCAGGAAGCAAACACCTTGCTCTCCTACGGATGGCAAGCAAGAACAAAGAAAAAGCAGGCTACATGAACGTTGTCGACAACTTTCTTCAAGCTGCTCTGCATCTTTACTACCTCAAGATGACCCAATTCCGAGATGGGTCTCTGCCTGACTATCCTGATATTTTAAATGACCATCTCTGGTGCGTTAGACTCATGTTACATTGATATCCGATACTCATATCTCTCAGCATCTTCAAAGACAAGACCTCTACAGATGAATTCATCAATGATCAAGAGGAGGGGACTTACTACTTGCAAGATTTACTTGATGGAGAGACAGCTTCGCACACCCTCCACCAACTAGGGACACCTCTGCAATTAGCACTGCTCCTGACTCCTTTCTATTTGCTCTTTCCATTCTGGATAATCACCAGGTCTTATAATCGTCGGCTCGTTCTTGAAGCCTTTGCAGAGTTAACTCCTCGGAAGACACCCCTCGTGCTTAAAATTGAGAGATCCATCTGGTGTTCTCTTATAGCGCTTGCTGACGTGACTATCACACCTCATGAAGCTTTGACACAACTGGTGTCAAGATTGCCGTGGGCCGAGATAGAGGCAGCATCCAACAACCCCCATGATTGTTGCATGTTTTGCACCCCTTTAGGTGAGAAATGTTAGACTGCTTTTCAAACTTCATTTATTTATTCTTTGTTGTATTTACAGCCCAGCCCTCTTCTTCTTCAACACCATTACAGCCTGGTTTGGCTGTTGGGAGGCAATTAGCAATAGAAGGTGCCTCCAACACCCTTACTCCAGACATACAAGTTAGTGGGCCCATGCCAGAAGCCTCAGTCATCCCCAACACTCAACGTTCAACATCAATTGAGGACAATGCATCTTGCATCAATGAAGAGCATCTTGAAGCTCCAATGGACCATGATGGTGATTCCCCAATGCTCCCCACACCATTACCCACCTCCAAATGTCCTGAATTGCCCTCTATGCCTGCCCCCACAATGGACCAAGATGGTGGTTCCCCAATGCTTCCCACGCCATTACCCACCTCCAAACGTCCTGAATTGCCCTCTATGCCTGCCCCCACAATGGACCAAGATGGTGGTTCCCCAATGCTTCCCACGCCATTACCCACCTCCAAACGTCCTGAATCGTCCTCTACCCCTGACCCTGATGGTGATTCACCAATGCCAGAAAGTCTAGAAACTTCATTGGCCTCAGTTCTCAATTCAGTTTTTCAATCCTGTCCCATATCATCCCCTCACCTTGGGACTGTTAATCCCTCTCATATCTCCCTCCCGCTCAATGTGTTGGGAAAAAATCTTTCAGGCGAAGAAGATATTGAGATGGGCGCCCTTAGTGAATTATCATCGTCATCTGAAGACGAAGATTCTGGTGGGTTGACATGTTACCTTTTTCTTGCATTTATGATCCGATAAAAACCAATGTTTACTGTATTCTAGAGCATTCGCCAGCTAGGCCTGCGAAAAAAACAAATCCTGAGGTGCAACCGTCTGACAATGACAATACTGACGATGAAGGTGAGGCAGGAGCTGTGTTTTTGCTTTTGTTTTCTGCTGAAGCTCATCATTGCCAGAATCTTCATTGTCATCATCAGATGAGTCTACAGACAGTGGTGTCAAGAAGCCTATTGGGAATACCTCAGGCAACAGGGGTGGAAGGGGTGATCCTGGAAACTTGAAGAAACTTGTGTAAGAGGGCCATTGCATGCATGGCAGATACGAGTCCTTTTTATATTCAGGAAGCCACAATGCAGCACCACAGCATTCACATTTTTGATTATTTAGGAAACTGGTCATGTGACCACCTCCTGAAGGCCCATCAGATCTATACCCATTATATATATTATTGCTATTTTTTATTGGACAAATTGTATATTTCCATGTATATAAAATACTGGACCTTACAGAGAGTCCCTACCTTGAAAGTGACAATAAGTACTATGCTCCATTTTTCACTAGATTTTTCCAGTCCTTTATAGATAGCTATTTTTCACTAGATTATTATGTATGGAATTTTCTTCTGGACCCTGAACATGCTCCCCAGTATTGCACAAACAGTGAGCATCTTCCTTCAATTTCTTTCTGATTTTTCTACTATTATATTGCCATTTTTTGATTCAAAAAGTGCACATTACCTCAGTTGAAAATATGCCATGTACTCTGAAAATGGTCCCCAACATTGTCATCAACAATGCATATTGTCCCCCATTTGTTCCTGATTTATCTTCTGTTTTTATTGCTATTTTTCCTTTCAAAAAATGTTTGACAACATCATCAAACCATCAAATCTTATGGGAAGAAAGGCAAGATTCAGTGTTAGAAGTACTGAAAAAATCCTTGAGATCAGAGAGTAACAAACTAGTGTCTTTATAAACTCAGAGGACTCATGACATCATTGCTAACAATGAGCACCATATTCCAACTTTCTCTGATTTTTGTGTTATTTTCTGGCAATTGTTGAATAAATTTCCATATAAGGAAATGCACCTGGGACCCTTGAAACAGTCCTAATATCAACATCAACAGTTAGCACCATTCTTCAATTGTTTTCCATTTTTTCTGCCATTTAATTGCTATTTTTCAGTTGGACAAATGCTGAGTGCCATATATGGAAATTTACCAGAGACCCTGAGAGTGTTTTCAAATGTTGTCACCAACAGTGAGCACCATCAGCCATTTTCTTCTAATTTTTGTGCCAATTTATTGTATCTATTTGTGCACATAACTTTTATTACATAATATACATAAAAACAAACTGTATTTTTCTTGGTGTTTTATTTCATTTATTTTAGATTTTATGTTGGTGAGCTTCAGATTCTTCTTTGAAAAAGTATGTTTATTTGGACTTTGACCTTATTACATAATGAATTGTATACAGGTATGATCCCTGAAATTTTACATTTTTTTTGCATTTTATTTCATCTGAATTGGACTTGATTTGGTAAAGTTACACATTTTTCTTTAGGCAACGCTTGGAACTCAAGAAGCGATGACGCACGAACATTTCCCGATCGCTTGATGGGGGACAGTTTCGTGCGTCATAGTAGATCTCAGATCAGTTACCATTTTCGGTAATAAATACAGATTCATGTATAACTCAGCGAGTTTTGATCCAAATGACATGATTTCTTTTGTGATGGGTACTCCTCATTTCCGTGGTCATGGTGATTTTATGTTCCTGGTAAACAGACACAAATAAACAGTTGCAAAAATGAAATAGATGATAAATTTTACGTCTGATCAATTAAAAGACTATTGATATACAGGTTAAACAGTAACAAATATTCACAAATAAGTGGGAGTCATTTCAATGTTGATTTTGGGATGTTATAGGGTGCACAGAATCTCTAATTGAGCTATAGCATGTATTTCTGAAGTAGATGACATGATCTATTTCCTTTTTAAACAATCTTTGCCACAATATACAAATGCAGGGGGGGCAGATCTCAGGGGGTAAGTTTTAGATCTCATCTCTCATCTCTTGTCCTCTTGGCATCACAGATTCCAATGATGCATGAAACTTCACACCATCAAATGATCAGGAAATGTTCGTGCATCATAGAATCTTGAACATTTGTACTGAGGCTGTGCAACTTCAGTAATATTCATCATAGATTCCGATGACGCACGAAACTTCCCCCCATCAAATGATCAGGAAATGTTTGTGCGTCATCAAATCTAGCTCTTCAAGTTCAACTTCCCACGGCACCTTCTCTTTGCCACAGCACCCTCTCTTTGTGGTGCGCTCTGGTGTTTTGCTGAGCGCTCTTCGTCTTGGCCAGTCCAACTGATTTGTGCAACATATCTACTGCATATCTGTCTCCTTTGCATGCTCATCGTCGTCTTGGCCAATCCAAACAATTCAAGTGCCACGTATCTACCACAATTGTCTCATTGAGCAATACACCAGCTTCACCATGTCATCTCTATGCACCTGTTGTCATCTTGGCCAGTCCAAACACTCAAGCCACAAGAAGGTCCTGGGCATAGTTTATTACAAGTCCAAAAAACATGAAATTACAAACAGACATACCTCCATGAAGGGTTGATGGATTCGTAAACAGTTTGTTGGATCGTTTTCACGATGTGTAGTAGTGTCCAAACGAGTCTACGTTGAATGAAATCGAGCCACAGGAAGGTCTTGGGTAGAGTAGGGCATAAGTGCAAAAACACAAAATTACAAACTGACGTACCTCCACGAAGGGATGACGGATTCATAAATGGTTTGTTGGAGCGTCTTCGGGACGTGTAGTAGTATCCAAAAGAGTCTACATTGAGGGAGATCGAGACACAGGAAGGTCTTGGGCAGAGTTTAGCAGAAGTGCAAAAACACGAAAGTACAAATAGACGTACCTCCACGAAGAGTTGACGGATTCATAAACGGTTTGTCGGAGTGTTTTCGGGACGTAAGGTAGTGTCCAAACGAGTCTACGTTGAAGGAAATCGAGACACAGGAAGGTCTTGGGCAGAGTTTAGCAGAAGTGCAAAAACACGAAAATACAAACAGACGTACCTCCACGAAGAGTTGACGGATTCATAAACGGTTTGTCGGAGCGTTTTCGGGACGTGAAGTAGTATCCAAAAGAGTCTACGTTGAGGGAAATCGAGACACAGGAAGGTCTTGGGCAGAGTTTAGCAGAAGTGCAAAAACACGAAAGTACAAACAGACGTACCTCCACGAAGAGTTGACGGTTTCGTAAACGGTTTGTCGGAGCGTTTTCGGGACATGAAGTAGTATCCAAAAGAGTCTACGTTGAGGGAAATCGAGGCACAGGAAGGCCTTGGGCAGAGTTTAGCAGAAGTGCAAAAACACGAAAGTACAAACAGACGTACCTCCATGAAGAGTTGACGGTTTCGTAAACGGTTTGTCGGAGCGTTTTCGGGACATGAAGTAGTATCCAAACGAGTCTACGTTGAGGGAAATCGAGGCACAGGAAGGCCTTGGGCAGAGTTTAGCAGAAGTGCAAAAACACGAAAGTACAAACAGACGTACCTCCATGAAGAGTTGACGGTTTCGTAAACGGTTTGTTGGAGCGTTTTTGGGACATGAAGCAGTATCCAAACGAGTCTACGTTGAGGGAAATCGAGCCACAGGAAGGCCTGGGCAGAGGTTAGCATAAGGGCAAAAACACGAGTCACGGCATTGCCCGAAAATGACGTACTTCCCTTGCGGGTTACTTTCCATTTTGAAGGGAGCCCTTATGGGAAGTACGTCATTTTCGGAAATTTCCGTGACTCAACTTGTGAGTCGTTCCTTTTGATGCGGAATATTCACCATTATGCTCACAACTTCTCAGTACCTTCCTGCAGTCCATTTTGCTTGAGCATTGACTCGATTCAATACCTACGCATTCCACGAACAAGCTCCACAAAACTGTTTACAAAACAGTCAACTTCCCATGGAGGTAAGTAGGTTTGTATTTTCGCTTTTTTGCCTTATGCTCACCAATTGTTCAGTACCTTCCTGTGGTCCGTTTCGCATGAGCGTGGACTTGATTCGATACCTACACACTCCACAAACATGCTCCACAAAGCCATTTACAAAATGGTTGAGTTCCCATCCAGGTAAGTAGGTTTGTATTTTCGCTTTTTTGCCTTATGCTCACCAACTGCTCAGTACATTCCTGTGGCCTGTTTCACCAGAGCATGGGCTCATTTGCACAAGTTGTCAGGACCTTAATTGTTGTACCTTCAATGTAAACAAGTTGAGTTGCATGAACATGAAAATAGAGGCAATGCATTCATTCATCAGAGTCTGGAAGCCAAATAGAGCAATATATTAGCCACAAGCTACATCAACGACAACCTGGATAGGGCTAAAAGACAGTAATAATCAAGGAATGGTCAAGTAGACTAGGAAAGTCATGTAGGCGAACCAAACAGATGATCATGGGAAGAAATCACTTTCGTGGGAGAAAGTCAAATTTCAGCGTTACCGCGCTGAAAAAAGTCCTGAGATCCTGGGTAATAAACGAGTCTCTTCGTAAACTCAGAGGACTCGTAACCCAGGGTTGGCTCATCAAAGGTAGACACTAAGGGACCCAAAGCGGAGGGTTCCCAAGCGACTGGTGGCGAGGATAATCCTAGGAAACGCTCTCGATTCGGTTCTATTGGGAATTCTCCAGATAAGCCAATCAATGTTGATGAGTTTCTCTCAATGTTTGAACCTGCAATACTGCACGATTATGTGTGTTTCATTTGATTTCAGTCTTGTCCATGCTAATCAGCTTTACAGGGCAAGGACGAAGAGATTTCTCTTAGTAAAGAAGAAGCTCCTCCCATTGTCTGTGACCGGTCATTCACAGTTTACGATATTGATGGCAATCCTCATGAATTCATGCCAGAATTCCATGTACGTGTCAAACTTGTTTATGAGTTTTAATAATCATTTATATTTTATCATTCAGCATGGTGTCTTCAATGACCGGTTCCAAGAGTTTATGGATCTTGTTTATGATGGTTACATTGAGGGTCATCCTCCTCACATCGTGGATCCGCAAAAATCTTGTCTGGCAAAATTGCATCATCAAGACTTTTCGACCATGTCTGCCTCAGACATCCAGAACAAAATGTGCCATAAACAGGTCGTCGTCACTGGGCTCCCCTTCAATGAAAAGATGCAGTTTGATGCCAAAGGCCTTCGCACCCTTGTTGGTTCCATGACTGCACAGATCTCCATTACCGGTTCGTTTGAACTTATATATATATATTTTTGGTCTAATAATCTAAATCATTGTTATAGACTTCTCAGTCATCAACCCAGGGACCGACTGTGTTCCCTCTGTTGTCAGTGGCTATGTTAACGACCTTCTTGAGAATGCCTCAAGCACCGGCAAGATTTTGAACGGACTTGACCTCCCCATGTGGTCTTCCTATCATCCTTCAAACAATTATGAAACAGATGCTGTTGCATGGAATGTTACCCGTGGGACCCACAGAATTCCACTTCATGGACCCTTCCCAACCCAGGACCGTGAATGGGGTATTGCCGGTCTTAAGCATGTTCTCACTTTTCTCCACATTGACTGCGATGGGTTTAACACAAGATATGGCACTAAAGTTGGATGAAAACTGTGGGCCTTCTTGAGACCACAAGATTTGAAAAAACTCTCTTCAATTGACTTCTACATGGATGAAGATGGTTTTTCTCTCTCTGGGAAGCCCAAGGATATCAAGTATGACTTTGAGGCTGTTGTTCTTTGGCCTGGTGATGAACTGTGAGTGTTGTGTTGATAATCATGGCATTATCTCATGATATTGCAGTCATATGCTGCCCAATTCTGCACATTGGGTATATGGCATAGATGATGTGGTTGCACAGGGCGGTCATTACTATTCCTCGTATCTTATGCAGGAGACTCTGCAAGGCATTGTACATGCCTTTGTTCTCAACAAGTTTTTAACAAACACGGAGCATATTCCCTCTCGTCACCTATTGCGGAGGATCCTGATCTTCTACCAAGTTGGCCTCATTGAGGGTGGCATCTCTGAAGACGGTGAGATTCTCCCCTCCTTGTTTATATCTTTGACTCATTTCCACTTCCAGATCCTGCATCAGTTCATCTACCTAACGTCGAGACGATGGAGGGCATGCTCAATATCATCTGTCTTGCAGTCCTGATTATTCTTGGCAATGTTCTAGATTTCAGGACTTACAGCACTCCAAATCAAGGGGAAGATGATGAAGCCTCTCCTACCCAAAGAACATTGATGGACACTGGTGACATCAATGCCATACCCAACAATGAAAGAATCGCGTATTGCTATGCACGTGGCGTGGCTTTACACATCCTCAAGTGGCTCCGTTCATGTGCCACTTTCACTGGCCCACCAGATGGTCTTGCCGACGATCTGATATCTCTTTTTTTTGTTCAGATTTTGGCTAGTCTATCAGACTACAAAAGCCTTGCTGAAGCAAAGAGTTATGGTGGAGTCCCCCATTGCACCTCCCATTTGCTCAGTAAACAGATTGCCAACATTCTTGAGGTAGATCCGATTCTGAAGGCTGCATGGGCATATAAAGAACGTGTTCCTTCATGCTCTCTAGCTCTTGAGGAGAAGGAGAAGTACAATGTTGAATGGCAGTGTGAATGGGAACCCACGTTGGGAGAGCCCCATCTGTGGTGAGTAATATATAGTTATTCT